AAAGTTATCACAAAACTTGTATAGTACAACGTGAACAAACTAACAGTAGCGATCACAGGTGTAGCTCATTAATCTGTATCATGTTATGAAGAAGTTCTCCCGTTTGATATCTGCCAATTATTATCAGAAATAGTCCTAGAACTTAGAGGAGACACTTTAGCTTTAAAGGCACATTTAGCCTTAATTTAACATATGAAAAGGATAGGAGAAAATAGCGCTGGGCGTGAAATAATGTTGTATAGAGGTAAGATAATGTAAACGAATTGGTATTTTGACTTACAAAATATATTAAATCGCTATGACTGTACTCTACAATATTCTACAGTATCCAGCTACACAATACCTCGGGGTCAACCCGGTATTAACAGCAAATGTCTTTACACCTACAGCCTGTTACATGTGTTAAGTCAGTGCATCAATGCCAAAAAAATTAAGCTTTATGCTACTACTACTTGATTACCTGCCTCACAATGTCTTAGAGAAACTTTCTGAACATTTATAAAACACTGACGCTTTTACGGTCATGATGATTAGACCGTACCTGTTGTCCGAGCTGCCCCCTATACAGTTTGCTACTTACTTCTAATATTTTTTTTATATTTAATTGATTAAATAAATGGATTCAAATTCAAACCTAGGTACATGTATTACACAAAAGCAGCAGAGTGAGAACTCCATTTATTTGGAATCTTCAGACAAAACATGCATACGGTGTGGCATGTGAAAAAGCAGTCTGTTTTCATATACAATGTACAATATAGTTGTTTCACGCATCTAGTTTTACATGAACTGCCAACGGAAACTCGGAGTCTTATCTTCGTTTTAATAAGTTAACCTTCTATTTTGGTCATTTGGCGTGTAAGAATGTATAAAATTTGAATGGCGCGTGTCTGAACTCTAATGTCCTGGTACTTTTGTTATCATTTAAGTAAAGCAGTCTCGTGTTGACATTATTGTTCGTTCATTAGCCTGACTTCGGCGGTAATATAAATGTGTATTACTAGTTAATATAGAGAATTGTACGGTTATATGGCTGCGCGACAGAGTGCAAGCAACCAAATATACACAACCATAAACGTGCACGAGTTTAGAAATACAGCCGAATTCCTTTAATTTAGGAAAAATCAAAATTAAAGCAGCAGTTTATATAGATAACGTCAACACTACGGTAATTCAACGGATGTCGACTTAACAAGCATGCAATGTTTGAACCTCTTACCACATGAGCATACCTTTATAATTCCAGCTCTCAAATATATATAAATGTGGATAGACAGAAACATGATTTAATTCCAAACATATATAGATTACTGCAGAAATATGATATGTTGTACGTCATTTATACTTTTATCGATACCGGTGTGTTTCCATCTAAATTAAAATGGAAGAAGATTTTACAGATGAAGGTAATCAATGAATCAACAAAAGATTTATTCTTAGAAACTTTAACGCCACAGGTGCCAGCATTAACATTTCTACTTCTTCCTTACAAGATTTCCCCTTTGTTGTTTATTATTCGACAAAATCTGTTACTAAAATGGGTTGTTGAAACACTTGCCAAGGCAGTTGGACACTTGTTGTGTTTTTCATAAAGCATTAGCAATGTTCTAACAAACGGCATTACAGAACACCTTGTTTGTTTTTGTCACAGGAAAGGGACTGAAAACGTGCCTGCTGGAACGCATTTATAGTAAATTTAAGTTTTGAGCAATACAGCACATTTATTTTACATGACTACAGATATAAATGTGAAATGTTTTTAATATGTAATATGTAAAATTATTAAAAATGTACTTGTCAACTTTCATATTGCTATCGCGCTCGTCATGTTAAAAAAAATCATGCAACTTTATCGCTTTATAGAACATGTCGTATGTTTTTCAGATATATATTTCTATTTACATGATTGCTGTGTGTGTATGTTTCTAAAAAATTAAGATCATTGATTTATTTAGGAATAATTCTTATGTCATACGTCTATTTGTTAATCATTTATAAGCATGAACATACACTGTATCTTCCCTTTCTCTTAAGTTTTTGTTTCGATCTCATCTGTTGTATGCACATTATATATATAATTTGTAAATATGTTACGCTCTCCAATGTTTTTTTGGGAAAATAAAATATGATAATAAAAAGTATTTCTGTAGGAACTATACTGGTGTAAGTAATAGTTAACCTATAGCTCGAAGGAGTAAGTGTTTCTGGGCGGAGCTATAGGTTAAAACAGATACACCATTGGTGCGTTGACGATTTCTGGGTTTGCGTAAATTATACCATAATCACGTGACCTTTCTTATGCAACCTCACTCGACTTCGTCTCGTGAGGTTAAGGCATAAGAAAGGTCACGTGATTATGGTATAATTTACGCAAACCCAGAAATCGTCAACGCAAGAAACACTTACTCCTTCGATCTTCAAAACTGAAAATTATACCATAGTCTGGGTATGGTATAATTTACGGTTATTGGAAATTATACTTGGAAGAATTTTACATAAGAAGCGCTGAAGAGCTATAGGTTAATGTAGAGAAAATTCCTTAAAGTCATACTACGTGATCACTATATATAGAAGTGTGGAGAACTACAGTCATTGCACTTTACTTCAAAAATTCACACTGAACATTGACACACCATTTATGAAGTACGAAGTTTGAAATTTACCGTGTAACTTAGCGTTATTTTTTCAATTTGTTTAAATTTGACTTGAACAATTAAATACTGTTCGTAACGCAAGTTGCAAGAAAGTATATAGGAAAGGAAACATAATATAATCGTATATAAACAGGACTGCCTGTGCGTTTTTCCCGATGATTATGTATGACTTTTGAAGGCTGCAGCATTATTAAACGCTCTAAATTTTAATTATCATATTGACCTTATATATATAAACTGTGGAACTGACCTTCACAATATAAGAACATTTAGATCTAGAACGGTACACGTGTTGTTAACTACATTATTGTTAACCTCTCGCGTTGTTTACACGATTTTGCTATGTGAATATAGATCATCTAGCTAGATCTAGCGAGATAACTTGATTTAGTACTTAGACCTTTTAGGAGCTTCGTGATTATTTTATCTGAGCCGGACTGTCGCAGACATTGAAGGCCCGCCATATGGAACATAAATAATGAAACTGATTTCAATATAGTGTAATAATTGATCAAAGCATGACTGCGAATTAATTATTTTGTTCATTAATAGCCGGAATAAACCTAAAATATATAATTATATAAATATCCTAGTTACTACTTAACTAGTTGGAACCGTATTAATTAGATTTTGTTATACCAGTCATGAGCAAGCCTGACACATCCGTGCTGTTTGATCAGGTTCCTTACCGATAGTAGCTCATTTTATGTATTTATATATTTAAAGAACTGTCGACCCCTACCCAAAAATAAATAAATAATTATAAAAAAAATAAAACAACAACAAAAACGTGGCTGTTCAAAGTAGGGCAAATCCATTATACAAATTCAGCAAGTTTAAAGGTTTATTTTACCTTAAGTATACTTCAAAAAACATTTTAGGTAGTTTTGATTTGTAGTAGACATGCTTCTGATGAAAATAGAATGTAAATGATCCTCACATTTGCGTTTTTTTTCCAAATGCTGTTAGGCTATCGTTTATATGTCAACAGCCCGGCGAGTTTTCATATTTTGTTACTCTGCATATTATTTCGCAATGACACCTCTGTTCATTTCTGAAGCGATCCTATATATTAGAGTTTCTATAAATTGATATTTGATGACGTGGCGCTGTTTCCATACTTTCACGGAACTCGGCGAAATACGTTCGGAATATTACTTTGTTAAATGTATCGATTATAAGACTCGTCTCCTGTAACATTTTTGGGGAAATTACATCCATCCGTGTCTGTCATCCAAGTGAAATTTCTCTTTAAGTGATATGATTATAACATAACACAATGTTTTTATTTTGCTTCTATTTTGACCAGTAGGTTTGGGTCGAAATGTAAGACGGTATGAAAAAAATTATGTACATACATGTTTTGCAGTAATTTACTATTTACAAACCAGGAAATGTTACTGTTAAAGTAATCCAAACATATGTTTCTATCCTACAACTTAATAAAATTTATTCTGTATAACTTATGTTTTAACCGTAGAAGAACCTCTGTTCCAGTTTATAGACAAAAAGGCTTATATAACGAAGGCAGAACACCGCCAAGGTGTCAAATACCATTCAATTTCAAGGTAAGGACAATTCATTACTTGACTTTTTAGAAATTTAATTAAATTTCACATTTTATGATATTTTCACAGAAGCTCAGGACCGAAATCGCGTTTTTTGTTGCATTATCTTTATCCTGCCAGATTTGGCCTTTATTAACATAATCTTAATACACTTTTGTGATGATCCGTTCAAATCAGTTTTTTTATATCTAACTGCTGATTTTAAAGTGACATAGATGAACCAAAAATAATTTGATAATTTAAAAGTCAGCAGCTAGTAGAAGACTGTACCAAAAACAGATGGAAACTGCGTGTCCGACCCCGTGTTCCTGAGTATACATTTTCAATGACGACGATTTTTTTTTACCTTAAATACCATAAAGGTTACGCAAAAATGTAATTTCTTTGACTTAAATATACCATAATATGTGTTTTCCAAATTATTCACAGGGCTTGTCTATTAAAAAATACAGATTTAGCGATGTAATGCCTGTTAAAGTCACTAGAGCATACAATATTTTTTTGTCCAGTTTATCATGCCATGTACCATAATGATATTTGATTCGAAAATATCTACATTTCATCATAATCATTTTGTTTTATGGGAACATTTGTATCATAATTCACCGCCATTTAACGATCGTATGATATTTATCTTAGATCACGTGATTCACGGCTTTGGGACAAACAACAATGACTTCACACTGATAAGACGTATCATCCTGTTGTGTTCTTTTGTTTATTTTCAGACAATCCACAATGAGAATTATATGCACGTGCGTTGTTCTTTTTGCTGTAGCATATGCATCTGCGGAAAAGAGATTTTTAAACAGTAAGGAAATAAAGAAATAAATTTATTTTCATCATATGTATAAGGATTTTAGTAATGTTTCATTCGATGTATTCTAATGATGATTTTTTCACAAATCGTGCATTCTATCGTGTTTTTCTTTTCAAGTTTGCTTTTGCATTATTTCTTAATAGTGGGGCGGGAAATAAGGTCTCTGCTGTCAAAATAGTGCAAATTGTGATACAAGCTTGAAACTTTCAGGAAATCATCTTTAGACCATGTAGATTTCAAAAGTGAAGTGGGCCCAAAAATATCTCTGCTCATTCAAGATGGCCGCCATTTTCAAGATGGCCGCCATATAAATTTGACGTACATAATAGCTCATTCATTCCAATTTTTTGTACAGACTTGAAACTTAAACCAAAGCATGCATATAGTTTCCCCTTTTCAAATATTTAAATCTTTAGGCAATTTCGCTTGCATATGTCTTCAGAATCCAAGATGGCGTCCAATATGGCTGCCAATTTTAATGAAAACTGATATATCTCTTTTGTTGTATAATTTTTTGCACACAGTATGCTTATTTCCATATAAAATTGTTAAACATATTAGAATAAAAATCAAATTTTAGGTTAATCACATTGTTAGTCATGTTTTTAGTTTTTTGTACAAAAAAAATCTTTAACAATATCAAAGAAAAAGTGCCACTTTCTGCATTTTTCTCTAACATGGTTTTCTAGGTCTATGTACAAAATTCCAAAAGTTACACAGTTTCTTAAAGTGTATTTGATATTGAATCAACACTATGTTTTATTGTATAATTGTAACAAAAACAAAAAATGTGAAGGTTTTATACTTATTCAAAGTGGGTGGGGTAAATTTTGCAGACAATTGTAGTACAAAATAACGTCTTTTATGATTTCTTATGCATATATTCATTGTAAAAGTATTTTATTGTATTAAGGTATTTTGGTCTTCCTTCTGGTCTAGAGGGTGTACTAAAATATCAATAAATGCAGATAGAATTATATGTATACATTCAGTTATTAAATGTGTTTGCATAATATAAGTTGGTTCAATATTCTTAATATAATTTGATAATTGTACAGAAAGAAGACAGAATATTCATCAACGAACCTTATGTTAGATAAAATCATGCCTGGACCTGAGTGAAATGTTGTCTATTTATGAATAAAATTATTTCCTGGACAATTTATAGTCTTGCTAAATGCTTGTAACAGAATGATTCAAAGTTATATTTACTTGCACATCTTTGTAACCAAGTATAATTGAGTTAGTACTGTCCATTTCTAATAACTTATATGTAGACATGATATTTTCAAAAGAAACAAAAATTAAGGCGACTGATACATCATATTATCTATGTGTGCTAAAATGGGTATCAATAAAACCGCTTGACCCACATAACATAGCTTATGATTTGGAATATAAACTAAATGTATTCATACTTTATTTTCCCCATTAAACAATAGAGAATAGTTGACTCTAGATCACTCGCTTAAGATCCACTGCTGGAATTTAAAGGTCTATAATTCTTTAATACTGAAGAATGCTAAAATCATATAAGGAGTATCTTTTTTCACCAAATACAGTCATGATTTTGTATATACTATTTGAAAAGAAACATGCCCAATAACTAGGCTCTCAGAACTACAAAAAGACTCATATAACTATATTCCAATAAGAGTCCATGTAAACTAAGTGATTTTGACCCTATGCCAAAATAGTTCATAATCTTTATATAGCATCACAATGTGATGATATACGATATATTTTCTTCTCTATACACTGTAGTTTCGGAGAAGAATTTTATTATATAAGTCAATGTAAACAAAGTGACAGGTAAAGCTATTTTGGACTGCAGGAGCATGATTTAAAGGCCCTCGCGAGGAACACAGTTTTTAAAGACCTGTGTAGGGAATCTTATTGAAGTTTTTTTTGTTGTTGATGTTATTTAAAAAAAAAATCAACAAACAAAGAAACTACAATGCCTAGAGCTTAGATAGTCACCATATAATCTTGCCAAGTAAAGAAGATCTCTTTTAAAGTTACATTAAACACTTTTGGATCATTAAGTGTACATGCAAAATTAAAAATCTTCTCAAAAATCAAAATGCACAGAGCACAGGTACTAAGCATGTAGCCCCAACTTGTGTCTTTATAAACATATTTAATGTATCATGCTCATATAGCCACCTGGGTTCACAGTCTTGTATAGGAAAACACATTAAAACACCAAGTGTTAAACAACAATGACTTGAACTAAGATATTTGGGATGTAGCCTGATATAACATGCATACATTTGTATGATGCTACTGCAGTCTAAAATGGTTTTGCAATGAGTATCACTTAAATTACAAAGACTAAATTTGTATGTGCATTTCTTGCTTAGCCACTTGGCCCGAAGGAAGACAAAAATACTTTGATCCAATAAAAACTACTTTTTAAGTTGGAAAATTTGCATTAGAATTCATAGAAAAGCAAAAGGGCAAAGAAATAGAATGAACTTAGGTATGTTTATTTTCTGTTGTTGTTTCTTTTGCAATAATTACCGTATAAAATTAGCCCACCCACTTTCACAAAAGATTTAATGTTTTTTCTTACATTTTTTACAATAAACACTTGATATTAATGGAATGTCAAATACAGTTTTAGATATAAAGTAACTTTTTAACTTTGTTCATTAATTAAGGAAATTCAAATTTTGAAAAATATGAAAAAATTGGAGTTTTTTTCTTGATCTTTTTAAAGATATTTTTTTAGACAAAAACTATTAAAATGTTTACTTTTTTTGAGATTAAAATATAATTTGATTATTTTTTTCTCTGATGTGTTTAAACACTTTTTATCATTTGTGCAACAAATTATACCATAAAAATGATATAAAAGTTTTGCACAAAATCAACGGGCATATTGGACGCCATTTTGGATTTGGAAGAGGTATGAAAAAGATTTTTTTTTTAATTTAGCTTTTTGAAAATTAAAAAACTATATGCATGCTTTTGGTGTTAGTTAAAGGTCTATCCAAAAAAAATTGGAATGAATGAGCTATTGTGTACGTCAAATGTACATGGCGGCCATTTTGAAAATGGCGGCCATCTTGAATGAGCAGAGATATTTTTGGGCCCACTTCACTTTTGAAATCTACATGGTCTAAAGATGATTTCCTGAAAGTTTCATACTTGTATCACAATTTGCACTATTTTCTCAATTTCCCGACCCACTATAACACATCTTGAAGCGGACGTCATCACACAAAACCACGCATATAGTACATTTAATATCTGACACAAAAGGTCATTAGATACAATTTTCATTCTTTGGCGTTTCAGACTATGCATGCGGAATAACTTCAACCATTGCTGATTCCATTAAGGCCCAGTTGAAGATCGACGAAGGTTATAAGACAGTTATTTACAGGGACAGTAAGGGATATCTTACTTTTGGAATTGGACATCTGATCACTCACAACGACCCCGAGTACGGGAAGCCAGCGGGAACACACGTGAGCACCTCTCGCATCGACAGCGTCTTCCAGTCAGATGTCACAGCTGCTATAAATACCTTCCATTCCATCTTCCCTCACTGCTCGAGTTTACCAAGAGAAGTGAAGGAAATCATTGTAAACATGGCGTTCAATCTTGGTGGAGGATTACGTAATTTCCATAACTTTATTTCAGCTGTCAATAGTCATAACTGGAGCAAGGCTGCTGATGAGATGGTGAACAGTGCATGGTACCGCCAAGTTGGAAACAGGTCTGTGAGACTTGTTGCAAGAATGAGAGCCGTTTAAATTTACTTAAAAACTGTATTATTTTTGCAGCTGATGACTTGTGTTTAACCTTGATTTTACCAGAAACACGGAAAATAAATGATTTGTAAAATGATTATTGTTTACACTTTCTTTTAGCTTTTATGGCTCATCTGTTAATTATTATTATACAGCAAATCTATATATACAGGAATCTGCTTTACCAACAAATATGATCAAATTATAAGATCAAGGACATGTTTGAGAACATTTAAACTGCAATAATAAAATTCTCGTTCATGTTTCAGCCCTTTTCAAAATATTATGCATGTTTCTGAATGTGTTTTTTTCCTGCACAGTCTACACTATAAACAATTGGAAAAATATGCAAATTTACATTAATAAGTACTTTTCATGATATAAAAAATGTAGAAACAGAGTTATAGAGTACACAGTAAGTTCATGTACAATGTACTTATCTACCGGTAAAAGATCTTTTCGGGGCTTTCTATAAATCCTTACACTAGTTACTGCGCCAATTATTTCACACGGGCGACTGACTTACCTTCATTGAACGCCGACCTTCCTTGTTGATTTTGTTTTTTCATATTTTACCACAATAACTTTTTGTTATGAATTGCGAGAGTTGGCGTGTTGCTTCAATACATAGATCTATTTGGTTATTTATGGAAAATGGTGAATAGAAAAAACATTTAACATTCGTTTGAATGAAGAAAACTGACATCTTGATGCCTATCATAAACACACACGAAGGTGTTAGCTAGTAGTTGCAGTGCAGTTAATACAAAAAAGTAAGCGGATGAAGATAATTTTTTATTATATTCTTCTATGTTATAAACTGACCTCACGTCTGCTCTGAAAAAAAAGAGACCGTGCATGGTTAACAGAACGATCACTAACTTCATCTAGACAAGAAAAATGATATCGTTTGACTGCGTGTGCAGTTATTAATATACGCATTAATTTTCTTGCAACGCGTGTTTTTATTTTCAGACGGGATAAAAATTGACATAGTATATTTTCGAAGGTTTACCGTTCAGTCTTTTAAAAACATTTGGAACCTCAAATCTTTAATAATATGATCATATTTTCATTTACTAGTATACAGTTTCATTGAAGAACATTAATGGCACAGACAAATATGCAATGGGTTGAACCACAGGAACTTGAAATTCTATCAAATAGTCAATATTAATGATAATATCCAAATATACCCCCTATATACTATAAATAAACACAAGGAATGAAACGCCTTTTTCCCACCCCAACATAATTTACGCCGAACAAATCAACAAAACCACAGATCAAAATATTCTATCTGGCCATTTCGATAAACAATACATAAATGTATCAAATACCATCGATAACTTTTTAAAATCGCTTAGCTGTGTAGGAATAATTCAACATTTTCTGATTATTTCCCGCGATCTGAGTTTGTCGCTGACTCCATTCCGTGACGTCACTTGATGTTGATTCGAAGAGCATAATATTTATTAAAATTATTTTTAATAAGTTCCAAAAAATAACAGGTATGTATAAAACTTTTATACAAATTATTCTATGTAAATAGATTTAAACATCTTCATGCAAAACCATTTAAACAAATTACTTTTATAAATACATTTGAAAGGGAAACCCCAAACAAGAACGGTAAATCTTTGAAATAGTACTTTCGTTTTAAAAAAAAATTGTGTACTCTATTTGATATGGTCCAGCAAATAAATTCAGCCATGTCGTAAGAAAAAAAATCAGCCTTTTGTTCTAGTTTGACAATATTTTGCTTGCAAACTTGTTATTTTTGGAACTTGTTAAAAATAATTTTAATAAATATTATTCTCCTCGAATCAACATCCCGTGACGTCACGAAATGGAGTCGGCGACAAACTCAGATCGTGGGAAATAATCAGAAAATGTTGAATTTTATTCGCTACATAGCTACGCAATTTAAAAAAGTTATCGATGGTATTTGACGCATTTTATGCATTGTTTATTGAAATGGCCAGATAGAATATTTTGATCCCGTTGTTTTGTTGATTTGTTCGGCGTAAATTATGTTGGGGTGGGGAAAAGGCGTTTCATTCCTTGTGTTTATTTATAGTATATAGGGGGTATATTTGGAAATTATCATAAATATTGATAGAATTTCAAGTTCCTGTGGTTGAACTCTGTGGTTTCAGGCGATAAACCAAAGTACTCCATGATAAGCACAAGGTTGACGGATGCTTTCTTTAATGATTTTTTTAATAAAGATATCTTTTAAGCATAACACACATATCTAAAGCTTAAAAATAGTTTTTAAATAAATATTTATCCATTCAGCGGTGGTTAAGTATATGTCATATAAATAAATACGAAATTTTTTATGGATTTTCAATATATCACAGTTTCTTTTTTCACTATGCCATGTATGGGATAGATAAACTACAGAAAACGAAAACAGACGACTTCTCCACCTGATTTCTTTCCATCCCTGAAACATAAGAAAACACATATTTGTAGAAAACACTAAACAATATTTTTATGGAGTCCAAGTGCAATACTGATTTCATTTTGACTCGGATGAACATTTTGTTCTAACATCCGCAGGCAGATGTGATATTTATTTTATTATACAATTCAGATTATTTTTTTGTAAATAGACATTTTTAACATAATTACTAAAACCCCAAAGTTATCAGTACCGTTTGGTTATGTCTGCTGCGAACCGAAAACGGATGTTTCCATGTGACCCCATACGTAATATGATTAACGTTTTGTACGTTTTGTCTAACTTTCTCGCCCAGCATCATAATTAACTAAGACTTTTGCTTTACTGAAAAATGAAACAGAAATAAAATAAATGTATATTATCTTACATAAGTTCCGACTTTCTCTTTTTCTTCAGCCAGCTTTGTCATTTTGTCTTCATTATGCCGCAATTTTCATTTGGTCTCTCATTCTGTAGCCTTTGCTTGTCCTGTTCTAACTTCTCTTTCTTCAGCTTCCTGATTCTTCATCTTCATCTCATCATTCTCTTTTCTTCCGTTTTGTAACAGTAGATCATACTCTTTTTGCTTCTCTTCCAACTTTTCTTCTTTTCGGTTTATCTTTAAATGCTTTTCACAAGCTGTTTTGCCGCAAGCGCGTCTTCTTTCTGCTTAAACTCTTTGTGTAATCTACATACAATTTGAAAAAAAAAAATGTACAATTGACTTGTGGAAAAGAATGAAAGTTCCATGATCGCCAGCGTAAGAACAATTTGCGAATGTTTAAAAAACAATTTTAATATATCATTTTAAAAAGTCCTATGGGGCGTTGACTGCAGGTTACATTTCCAACTGCCCGTTCCTGAACTGGCTAAATTATAACTGGGCTGCAACATTGCTTGGTGGGCTTTAATGATCTTATTTTGACAATGAGTACTTGCGGTTATAAAAGGGATACTGCCTAATATCATTCTTACTAGTAAATATCATCAGGCATTTTCAGCAACTCTTTATTGTTTGTTTTAGAGGTTCATATATTCCTATGCAAATTTTGTCAAATTGAATTAAAGAAGTATTAGTAAAACTGGCTGAACAATGGATAATTTTATATAGAATGCATTTGTTTATCTGTCAGATATACCGAAAACTTACCATGTTCATATTACATGTGTACTTAAAGCTTATGACTTAATAAAGCCCAAATATCAATCTTATAACATGGTTGTTTCTTATTTCTCCAAACAAGTTTCAAATGAGTTTCTAGTGGTTGTTGAAGTTAATATAAAATGTATTTGTTAATGTTATACATGTATTTGTCTTTCTCTATATATTATATTATAAAACACTCTAGAATTGAATGGAATAATTTAACCAAATTTGAATTTTGAATATAGACCTAGACCACTTATAAACATTTAGTTAATGCAACCGTAATTGTAAAACTTGACAAAGACAACAGCGACAGAAAAGGATTGTGGATTTTGCTGAAAGGTATTGCTCTTGTGAAACGTTAAACTCGTATAGAAAATTTGTCTGGCTGAGGAGGTATTTTTACTGTTTTTTTTTTTAAAAAAAAAAAACAACATTTTTTAGCTCTACACATTTATTGCTTAAGAGAAGTGTAAAGTATTCTTAAAACCAAAGACATTGATTTATGCAAATAGTAACATAATTTTAATCATATATCTATATATTTCAAGTTTACAGGAAGTTCACTTCACAACTGTTTTACTCTAATGAAACAGAAAAAAAAAACCCAAAACTTGCGTTTAAAAAATATTGCGGACACGCTTAATATGCTACTATACCAATTATCATTTATAACTTGATTGTTACACTAAATATTAATTATTTTCCAAATAGAATTTTTTAACAAATTTTTTTTTTTGAGCTTTTAAACAGCTGCTTACGTTCTTTCTGCAATCATTTTTGTTCCACAGTTAACTCGGCTAAAGCTTGTTCATGGGCCTTCATTCTCGCTTCGTGCTTTTTCTCGAGCTCTAACCGTTTGAACTCAATCTTGTCTCGTTGAATTTCAAGTTCTTGCTGTCTGGTTTCGTTTTCGGCTGACATCATTTTCCATTCGGCTTTCAAGTTCTTGTTGTTTAACGTCTAGCTCTTCCTTCTGTAGCTCATATTTGTCTTCCTTTGAGCGCTGTTTAATCTCAAGCTCTTCACGCTTCTTGTTGATCTCGTTAGATTTCCTGAATAATACAAAATAAATTAAATTTTGTCAAACTTATTGTTTAAAGTTTTAAGACGTTCCTGGTTCAGAAAAAAAAATATTGTTACGTCAATATTTGGAAACGTTCCCTTTCCTCTCTTTATATTATAACATCTAATCTTCTTTTTTTATTAAGATTCTATACACCCCTTAGCATTTATTATTAGGAGAATCAAGTAACAGCGAAATGATATTGACTCCAATGAAAGCAGATGTCCTTATCTTTGCAGTTGTTCATTGCTCCGCGCCGACAGGCGCGAAGCTATTTGTGTTTACTTTTTTGTCCATGGATCTGATTTTTTTTATCAATTAATCCCGTCGATTTACAGCTAAAAATGAATTCGGAATCAAAAATTTCTTCCTATTTCTATTTAAAAAAAGTCATATA